TATTCTATCACAAATATTCAATTGCCTGTGTTCCACAAATAAATCAAGTTTAACTTATCCAAAAGTGAGCTAGTCATGATAGTCATCTCATGCATCTAAACTTGCTTCACTTATGTGCCTAGTTATAGGGGACATTGGGATTCTTCTTTGTCTCTCATTATCCCTTTATCTAATTCAGCACGGGGGCCCTGTCATGTCCACTCCCAAATCTGCTTTTAATCTGTCCCTTCCTTAACATTCCCATAAACTAAATTCCCATTCTCATCTCTAATCTATAATAATAATTATAATTATTGAGCTCCCCTGTGCCAGGCACTGTCATAAACTTTTTAACATGTGCTAGTTTGTTTCATTTTCATAGAATTTTATTTGGTAGGTACTATTACACAGCTAACCTAAATTTGTCAATTTACAGCAGCATTTCTCAACTTTGGCTTTATATTAGAATATCCTTTACTCGCTGGTTAGCTCACTTGGGAGAGTGTGGTGCTGATAACACCAAGAACAAGGGTTTGGATCCTCATACCAGCCAGCCAGCTGCTCCACCCACCCCCCTCACTCCCCACCAAAAAAAAAAAAAAGAAGCCTGAAGATATATTAAAATATCTTGGGGAGTTTTAAGAATTCCTGATACCCAGGCCATACCCTAGACAAGTGAAATCAGAATCTCTGAGGGTGGGACCTAGAAATCAGTGTTTTTTACTGATAGATCAAAAATCCTCAGATGATTCCAGTGCATATAATGCTGAAAACCACTTATAGCCATAAAGTGGTAGAGTCAGAAATTGAACTCAGGTCTGTGACTCCACAGCCCGTACTTTCTCTCATGTTGTATGGTGGTAGCACAATGAACTTACGTGGTGTATCATGTTACTTTCCAACTTAATTCTCTTTAGTTGTTCCCATATGCCTTGGTTAAAAACTAATCTCTTTGGTATGACATACAAGGTTAAGTCGATTTTCCCTTCCCTTATGCTCTGTACTCCAATAATATTAGGTTTCCCACAATTACCCAAATAAATAGTATTCTTTACACATCTGTGCCTTTGCACATGTTGGGCTTTCTCTCTGGACTACTCACCTCCTGTCTTTTTTTTTTTTTTTTTTTTTTGAGGCAAACACTGTTTCCAAGACTCTATTAAATGCCTCTTTGAGACTTCTCTGAAGTCTTTCCAAACCACCTCCTTATGCTTGGCAGTGTGGATTAGTCCCTCTTCTGTCCCACCATTGAACATACATGTACTTTTTCACTTATCACACAGTTTGCAACTGTTTACTTGTTTATGTAATGAATGAATGGATGACCAGGCATTGATTAAGTCTTTGAACCTAAGTTGGAGCCATTTGTGATGAGCCTGCAAAGCCAGCTAAAGAATAAGGATTTTTATCATGTAGGGAATGGGAAGTCATTGAGGATAGTTGAGGAGGGAGTGAGATGCTTGAAATGGTGTTTTTAGAAACTTTAATCTGGCATGTGATGTTTATAACAGTTTGGATATAGGATAGGACTGGAGGATGGAGATCATTGAAGAAGTTTTTTAAATAAGAATCCACACTTGTGGTGATGAGGACCCCAGTGAGGATGGTGGCGAAAGGAATGAAACAAAGAGATTGATGTTATAAAACAAAGTAATTCTACATTTTGGTGACTAGATTTGGAGGGCTTGGGAGAAAGAAGAGTCAGAAAGGAATTCAGAGTTTTGAGAATTATTATCATACGCATTAGTTTTCTGCCATAACAAAGCACCACAAACTGAGCAGTTTAAAACAACAGAAATTTATTCTCTCACAATTCTGGAGGCTAGAAGTCTAAAATCACAGTGTTGGCAGGGCCATGCTTTCTCTGAAGGCTCCAAGGGAAGCTGTTTCCTAGCTATTGGTGGTTGCTGGCAGTCCTTGGCATTCCGTGGCTTGCAGCTTTATCACTCCATCTCTGTCTCCATCATCACATGGTCTTCCCTTTGTATCTGTGTCCAAATCCCCCTCTTCTGATAGGACATCTGTCATTGCATTAGCGCCCAGCCTAATCCAGCATTATTCATTTTAACTTGATTACATCTGCAGAGACCCTATTTCCAAATAACACCACATTCACAGATACCAGGGATTAGGACTTAAACATATCTTTTTGGGGGCACACAATTCAACCCGTGACATCAAATTAATTCATTCAATCAAATAATCATGTGTTGTGTTGTAATTGCCTTTAAAGAGCTCACAATCTAATAGAGAAGATAGACATTTAAATAGATAATTCTGCTACAAGGTGGCAAATAGAAAAATACTGATATGCACATGTTATTAGGAAGCACAAAGGAGGGACACGACACTTAACCCAGCCTAACAGAAAATAGATAAAGGTGAGATCTTGGATAGAAAAAGAATAAGGAGAAGCATCAGTTTCTTGGGATTTAAATCAATGTTCTGTTTTACGATTTTATTAATCTAAAAAATGAGGTTTAGTTTGGGTACACCCCAGAGGAAACATTCTGTCTGAAGTTAACAGATAGGATGCCAGTTCTGCAGATGTAGATATGGGAGACAGCTACGAAGAGGAGGGACTGCTGGAGTCATTTCCCTTTTTCTTGAAATTCAGGCTTTAAAATTAAA